ATGTTTCTTGTCTAATCATGTGGAATTTGGACCACCGCTGAATTAGTAATTATACGAACTGTGGGGACCTAAGTAGTGTACGGGCTACCTATGGTTGTTCGTAAATTAATGGGGCAAGTTGGTCAGATAAGGCTCAGTAGCGTCTCAAGTTTTACATCGTGAAATATTTACATTTATTAAGTGCAAAGAATTCACATAAGTTTGCAAATATTTGGTTTATGCATTGAAATGTTTTATGCATTTGGAAACCCGTGAGCTCACCAACTCTTTGTAGTTGACCTTGTTTTACTTCATGCTTTTCAGGATTTAAGTGAGGTTGGTTGAATATGTTTTGGGAGCATACTCGTGGCAAGATCGATTAAGTCCGAAATTGAAGTATTTGCAGAAAAATTGTATTCATTCTAATTTCGGTTATGTCGATAAACTTGATTTGTTTTTGCACAACTCGGAATGGTGTTAATTATTAACTGTTGCTATGACTCGCTTGCCTGTTACATCTCGTGTTTCCGTTTTAGCGGGTGTGTGACACTCTATACGGGTCTATCAATTTTATTATATTATACATACTAGAAGGGTACTCGTGCAATGCATCGAGCAACATCTTCATTTTAGTGTTTTATTTTATTCATTTTTTATGTCGATATAATACGGTTTTATGTGGTTTTGATAAAGCGATAATGTGTTTATTTTTTAATAAAATATAAATTTGTAAATACCATAAAATTTTGAAAAAAAAAATATCGATATTAGTATCAAATTAATCTTTTTAAAAGTTCTTGTGTTTTGGTGTAATTTTCTTAATTTAGTTTTTAAAGTATAATTTAATTTAGGTTTAGTAACAAAGAAATTTAATTTAGATTTAATAATATAATTTTTTATAAGAATAATAAATAAGTATTCTGTTAAAACTCAATGATTATTTTAGTTATATTTTAGATTTTTTATATTTAAAATGAGATGTTTATCCAATATTTGATTATGTTTATTTGCAATTAGCTACACAAATTCAAATATGGAGTTCTAATAAGTTGTAATTATACATAATTTACTTGTAATGTTAAATTTTAAGTAATATGTATCAATTAACAGTACTTCGTGAATAAAAAATGGGTTTTAAGAGTTTTTATCAAATGTTTCATAATATAGTATAGATATATGAGGGAGGTTTAAACGACCAAGAATGCAAAATCACATGTGATTTTACACTAATGATCAATTCACGGTGGTGTGCAGGTAGCGTTGCCTGCGACCTAAAGTAGCAGTCACGTGACTTTAGCCGCAACTTGTGGTCGCACACCCTTGTGTTGGCCGTTAGTGTAAAAACATATGTAATTTTACACATGATTTGACCGTTTTCATATTCTTTTATTTAGTCATTGTTCTCTTTCCCTCCCCCTCTCTATATATTTATAAATTAAAACTTATTATTAAATATTCGGGGTGAGGTTTGAGAAGATTCCACATCCCTCTATTAACAAATTCAGGGATTTCTCATCTCCAATCAACCATAGAGGTCAGAGTTTCAAACTTAACCAAATATGAGGGGATGTTTGAGTTTATTTGTTTAATTTGTCGTATATATTATATACTTCAAAAATAAAAAAAATTATGCAACACAAAATTCAAAAAGAAGAAATAAAAAATAAATATGAAATCGGAAACGGGTCGGGTTATTTACGGGCATAGGCGTAGAGGCACGCCATGTGAGAAGGTGACAGAGTGACGACGATGCTGTTATTAGAGCTTACATTGCAAAACCCACTCACCGACTTTTAATTTCTCTAAAATAACTGTGTCAGATCCTCTCAATCGCTCGATATGTCTCAGTATTATATGATTTGATTCAATTCATCAATCAACGATCAATGGAATCGCTCTCCTTTCACGATGGCAACATCACCCACTTCATTGATGCTCGAAGTCTACACGTTCGCTCCGTACGTAAAATTTCCCCCTTTTCTTTTCGCTATACAAAACATGTCAGTCAATTTGTTTTTGTGATCTTAATGTGTGGTTTAACTCTAACATGTCGTACGAATTATTGATATTAGTTAGTTCGACTGTTTGTGTTTGTTGTTGCTTAGTTGTGAAATTTTGGGTTGGTGACTGTTGGGAATTGGGGAATTCTTGATTGTATTTGACTGAAATGAAATTGGATTTTGATGTTTCATTGTTTCTCCATAATTGGTACATTGTGGTGGTTAACATAACCTTACTCTGCATTGCCCATGTTGGGTGTTTGATGATTGTAGTTGGAAATTTGTTGTGTTAGGTTTTATTGGAAGAGCATCCTGTTTACATCATGGGTCTTTGCTTGTCCTTTGTTGCTAGTTTATACTTAACTGGCCTCATTGCCACTCCAGAGTCCATAGTAGAGGCTATAGTATGGGTTGGATTCTCTCTAATCTAATTCGTCTAAGAATCAAAGATTTACAGATTATTCAATATCGCAATTTGAAGTGGTTTATGGAAAACATAGCCACACATGTGATTAGAGTGAGAAAAGTGTACTGCCTCTATCCCACGTGATGCATACTTTCTGAGACCAACCCTCCTAAGTGTGGGAATTACAAATTTTAGGAATCTTTTGGGGAAGAAAACTGGTGGCAAAGTTTTCACTTGAGATCAAATTGTTCTGTCTGCCAAAAAGGCATACGTTGCAATCCTCAAGGGTTCCAAAGAGTACTAGTTTTGGTGAAATACAACTCCATACTCTTGAATTTCAAAATTTGATGATATTTTAAACGTCATTTTTAAAATTAAAGTGGAAAAAAGAATAGCCCTTTCTATTCAATATCTCTATGAAGGCTGGAAAATATGTAACAAAAACTTATCACAGAAGGGGTTAAGCCTGTTCACATAAGCTCTCTGGCTTTGCAAGGATTCGGGAGGTGATTTTGGAGTGTAGGTTTTGTTCTCATCTTTTTTTTTTTGGCAAAGAGGCTATTTCCAACACTGGAACCAACCTTATTGGTTGTTCAAATGAGGTGCTGACGACCCTAAATATAAGAGATGATTGTATATTTTATATCATTTTAATGACGACTATTTATAAATGAAAAACAAACATTGATTTTCTGGCTGGTGATCATCACCCCACTGCAATGGTGGGCATTTATCAAATAGTTGTCTGGATGCACCGTAGAGAATGGGGAATAACAGAGAAACTGCATATATTTCTCATACTTAAGTCCAAGTAATGAGCTAGAGACTTGAGATACAATTGGAAAGGGGGGTTGATGGATCTCCTCAATTCTTATGAGATTCTTCTTCCTAAAATCTTTTTAGAGCTACAAAGGATGCTGCTGCTGGTGGTGGTTTTCTATAATTGCTAGCTATTTATTTGAGCATAGATATTAATGTTCTGCCTTGTAACTGTTTTCATCCATTTGTGCTGGTTTTTTTTCTACAGATAAAAAATTGGTGAATTCTGATTTTCTATTTTGTGACATTACAGGATATAAATCACAGTCTACAATTGCATTCGTCATTCATTAGAAGGCTTTCTTTGGAAAGAGAACTGGAGGTTTTGTACCATGTGTTTAAATTTTGATATCTTTTGAAAGATATAACTTTTAAATGGAATTATATCTTTCATCAAGTATGTGCATTAAGTGGCTTATAAATTGTGTACACGTTACTCCCATCCGAGAGAAAGGAAAAGGATGGAAGATATTGTGATCTCAAAGAGAAAAAAACAAATTCTAAACCTATTTTCCTTGACCTTTTTGTGTTGTACTTCAAGCTAAGATGTTATATTCTTTGTTGCTTTGTATAATTTCCAAATCCTTTTTTTTTTCGAACATGGTGTTGGTAGTTCCCGGCTGATGATTCCAACAAGGAAAGGTGGCTTTATCGGCAATTGATATACTTCTTTAATTCGGGTATTTTATCTTGGGAATGGCGGAGTTCCTCTTCACATTTCCACCAACCCTCAGTTTTTCTTATTAAAAAAGCTTCATATTCTTACCTCTCTTCAGTCATGATCTCCATATTCAAGAAATAAAAAGTTACGGTTCCTGGAGGGATGTACTACATGTTGGAGGATTCTGCATATTTGAGCATTCATTACGTATTTTTTATTTGTTTCCACCTTGAGGACAAGGTGGAGTTTTGGTGGGTGGGCATATTGATAAACATGTGGTCAAGGGGTATTTTAGTAAAATCACGTTGTCTTCTTCTGTAAGCATGTGGGCATTATAAATATGTTTTCAAGGGGTATTGTTTGAATTTAAGAATTCAGTAAACATGTGCAGTTTTGGCGGGTGACCATTTGTTAAGTCGGTTTTTTTTTTT